GAGATTCACTAGTGGGTACAGAAATAACATACTAAATTAAAGATCCTTCAACAATAAATTTTAAGAACTTTTAAATTTTGTCTATGATTTTTTAAATTTTTGTGATTAGATAGTAGGTTCATACATTTATGGGGGCACATAAGATATTTTGGCACCGTTATAAAATATATAATTGCCACATTATGAAAACTTGGGTATCTCAAGCATTTATCCTTTGTGTAACAAGCATTCCGTTTATATTCTTTAGTTATACAATCTGATAATTCCACTGCTGGGTTATGTGCCCAAAAGAAAGGAAATGCGTATATCAAAGAGATATCTTCACTCTCATGTTTGCTGAAGCATTATGCACAATAGCCAAGATTTGGAAGCAACCTATGTGTCCAATTAATGGATGAATAAATAATATATTGTACTTATAAACAATGGAATACTATTCAGCCATAAAAAAGAATGATATTCTGTCATTAGTAAATACATGGATGGAGCTGGAGGTCATTATGTTAAGTGAAGAAACTTGTAATTTTAAGCATAGGTCAGCAGCCAGCACAACTTTCTTCCCCCAACTAGAGCCATTTGTATTCAAAAGTAAGTTTAAAGAAAGATTAATCTCAATTTTTTTGCTGCAAAATATAGTCATTTCCAATAGGGAGGAGCATAACAGGAGATTCTCAACTTACCTTGCCCTCAACACTCCAGCTCAAGTTTAGAAATGCCATTATAAGCACATATCTACAATTGGTGATTTAGAAGAAATAATGAAGTAAGTCCTACAATTTGGAAGCCTTGTACCACAAGAGATTATAATGGTCTGGAGAATTTATGATTTCCTAGGTTAGTAACTTCCTGCCAAAATTATTTTAGATATAGAAGGGAATAAATTCCTTTGTTTATTATAATAAACTACCCACACAATTTAAACTTATTCATCTCTTTAACTATATATATATATATATATATATATATATATATACACACACACACACACATATGTATATGGTGTGTGTTTATATAATATATATCTATATTCTTTCTCTATTTTGTGCCAACTACTTGAAAATATGTACAAATATCTGTTTTATTTTCTTAAAATAGATTTTTGTCATCCTTCTTACATTTTCTATTAATGTAGATTTAAATTAGCATTACTAAATCTAATAATATGAATGCATTATATTGATAGTGCTAATAAAATATTGACATGAATGTAATGTATATTATTTCCTAAATTTGAGGAGTATCACTTAATATATGCGTTTTGATTTAAAGAGATTTATGACTGTATACAGATATCAGAACAGTTATGTTTTTGTTCTATTGTATAAATTTTGTCTTAACATTCTTTTGGTGAGTTACAATTCTTTGTATAAGGTATTAATATCTCAAATATGAAACACCATGTGATGATCCTTTGTGGAACTCAGCCTATTTCTTCACAGGAAAAATATAAAAATAGAGGAAAACTTCATATTTTTGTCAGTCCAGAAATGTCAAATGTGAAATTGGGTCCTAACTTTTCCTTGGAGAGGAAGTTCTGCTTCTGGGAAGGCATTGTTCAGGGATAAATAAGAACATCGCTGTTCTAGAGGACAGGCTATTCTCTGTCAGATATAAATGATCCAAGGAGAATGAAGGAGATAATTAAAGGGGAAAAATTGATCTGTCATGAGACTAAAGTAATGCTTCAGACCTCCTGCTGTTTAGATCCCACATTTATGCTCTGAGATTAAGTAGCCTTGACTAGCATCTCTCTGTAGAGTTTAGGTAACTAAGGAAGAAAAAGACTGAATATCAGAAGATAGAAAAGCAGGAAGGCCTCGGAGCAGAAAAGTTTCTGCTTTCAGTATATATATACAAAATGGGAAGATAGCATTTAAATTAATAGAGTCTTTTCTGTAGCAATTTTTTCTGTTTTTTCACAGGCTTCTATTCACCTATATTTCCTCCCTTTGGCAATTTTGAATTTTTGTTATTTTGTTCAGAAAGAAATCAATAAAAAATAAAAACAAAGTAGGCATTCATGAAGTATTCATCCCTTGGAAATAAATGAGCATCACCTTACTGTATACCTCCTAATGAATTCATCAACGTAGCTTACATTTCTATTGAAAATTGCAATATGTCAACTTGAAAAATGTCTTTTATTTATGAAATAAACTGTTTACATTACACACAGATTTTAAAAGGGAAACAATTCCACAACCTCAAAATCAATGTAATTAGAGATCCCACCATATCTTGGCAGCCTGAAAGCAAATTGCAACCAATTTTGCAGAAGCTTTATGTTTGAATACAATAATAGCAAAGTGCTGGATCGTACCTTCAGACCAACTTCAATGCAGCATTTAAAAATTCATGCTAAAAACTACAACAACCTGAATAAACAGAATTTGTTTTCTTTGTAAGATCTCAAGGTATTTCTCTTAAATTATCTCATTTATTCTAGTGACATATTTGTGTAGGGAGAGGAAATTAATTTTGTATAATTTTAGTCCACAATTGACTAGACAAATTTCAGAATATCCTGTGACATTCTGTCACTGAAAGGTGTAGCCAATGACTGTATGCTTGGTAGGCCAACAATAGCTGGGCTCTCTAATAGACACCTTTCAGTTTGGAGAATTGGTTTTATATGGAAGTAGGCTAGGTGATTGCCCAACAGTGTGTTTGAGGAATGCTTGGAATACATTATATTACGTATTACATATAATAATAATATTTTAGCATGTACTCTGGTTTGGTAGAGAGTGCTTTCATATACCAAGGTTAATATATGAATTTTATATAACAATACAGAAACATTTATATTATATTATTAGCATTAATACATGAAATCATGAAAAGACAGTCTTGAATTGCCAGCAGCCTGTCACCACCACCCCCCCGCCCCCAACCTCCTGCTGATCTCCCAGTAGTGACCACATGGTGTGGAGAGAGAATCTGTGGACTTGGCAGAGGGAGAGTGCAGCAGTTGTGAGACATTGCATTGAACTCAGTGCTGCCTTGTCATAGCAGAAAGCAAAATCAGGCTGAACTTAGCCGATGGAAGCCTATGGAAGGAGTATCTAAACCATCCCTAGCTAGAGGAGAATCGCCCATCAAAGCAACTGGAAGTTCCAGCAAGCATTGCCAGTGACGGCTGAAGCGCTCTTGGGGCTCTAAGTAAATTTGAGAGACAGTTTAGGTCACAACAACTGCAACTCCTAGGTGAGTCTTAGTGCTGAACGGGGCTCAGATCCAGTGTACTCGAGGGGCATGTAATCTACTGAGATACTGAGACACCATCTGGGCCAGCTAAAGGAATGCTTGTGTCATCTCTTCCTCAACCCCAGGCTGCACAGCTTGTGACTCCAAAAGAGATTCCTTCCTTCCACTTAAGGAGAGAGGAGAGTTAATGAGAGTTTCTCTTGCCTCTTGGACACCAGCTCAGCAGCAGCATCGGGCACCACAGCAATAAGGCCCCTTTCCAGGACTTGACTCCTAGAAGACATTTCTAGACAATCCTGAAGGGAACCAGCCAGAAGGGGACCAGCTGCCTTAAAGGAAAGGGCCAATTCCCAGCAGGATCCATCATCTACTGACTAAAAAAACCCTTGGACCCCAAATAACCAGCAGCAATACCCAGGTAGTAATGCCAAAGGCTTTGGGTGAGCCTCTGAGATTTGCTGGCTTCAGGTGAGACTCAGCACATTCCCAGATGTGGTGGCTAATGGAAGACACTGTTTGAGAAAAGTTGAAGAAAAAGTAAAGGGGACTTGGTCCTCCATGTCAGGTACCCACTCAGCCACAAGGGTTAGAGAACTAAGTGAGCTCCCAAAGCCCCAGTTCTAGACCTTGCCTCTTGGATGGCACTTCTAGGCCTGCCTTGGGACAGAGGGGAGCCCACTACCCTGAAGTGTGAGTCCAAGGCCAGGGAGCATTCACCACAAGCTGACTGAAGAGTCTGGGCTTTAAGGAACATTGGTGGTAGCCTTGGAGTACTTTCCATGAGCCTGTGCTGGTGGTGGCCATGGAGTGAAGCTCCTGTTCCTATTGAAAGAGGAAGAAAGAGTGGGAAGAACTGCAAATTGTGGTTTGAGTTCCAGCTCAGCAATAGTCAACAAAACATAAGGCAAACTTCTAAGCTCTTTGACTTCAGTTCCTGGCTTCCAGAAAGCACCTCTGAACCCGCCCAGAGCCTGGGTGAACTCACCACCTAGAGAGAAAAAAGCAATTCTGGCTGTCTTCACCACCTGCTGATTGCAGAGCCCCAGGGCCTTGAACAAACACAGATGGTAGCAAGGTAGTGGTTACAATGAGCCTTGGGTGAGACCCTGTGCATTAGGCCTTACCTAGTATGTTACCAGTTGTGGTGGCCACAGGGGTGTTTGTGTCACCCCACCCCCAGCTTCAGGTGGCTCCGAAGAGAGAAAGGGACTCTATTTGTCTGGGAGAAAGAAAGGGTGGAAACAAGAATCTCTGCCTAGTTGGTAGCTGTAAGGAGTAGAACCATCGCGTTACTGGGCTTGGAGTGCCCCCTAATGCAGATACAGCTTAGATCTCAACACCCAAGTATTCTCAAGTGAGTTGTTAGCCTTATAGAAGATGTGGAAAAAGAGATAGGAGCAGAAAGATTATTTCAAAGGATACTAACAGAGAACTTCCCAAACCTAAAGAAAAAAATCAATATCCAAGTTCAAGAAGGTCATAGAACACAAAGCAAATTTAACCCAAAGAAAACTACATCAAGGCATTTAGTAATCCAACTCCCAAAGGTCAAGGATAAAGAAAGGACCCTAAAAGCAGCAAGAGAAAAGAAACAACATGCAATGGAGCACCAATATATCTGACAGCAGACTTTTCAGTGAAAATCTTACAGGCCAGAGGCGAGTGGCATGACATATTTAAAGTGCTGATGAAAAAAAACCCTTTTACCTTATGCATTAGTCCATTCTTACATTGCTATAAAGACTTACCGGAGACGAAGTAATTTATAAAGTAAAGAGGTTTAATTGACTCACAGTTTTGCAGGCTGTACAGGAAGCATGTCTGCGGAGGCCTCAGGAAATGTACAATTATGGCAGAAGGTGAAAGGGAAGCAAGAACATCTCTCATGGCCGGAGAATGAGGAAGAGGGCAAGGTGGGAGGTGCTGCAGACTTTTAAACATCCAAAGCTTGTGAGAAGTTGCAAAATCAAGGGGACAAGATAGACAGAGTTTTAAGTTTAAAATGAGGAGAACAATATTTAAATACCAGATCCATCATTTAAGAGCTGTTAACCTCACGCATTTAAAATCCCTGAAGTTGTTTTTACGTAAAACATGGATAATACCTGTTTTATTTTCATTGTGATACTGTTGTAAGAAAAAAGTCATAGCGGGTTTGAGAGTATTTTAAAATATGCAGCATTACTGTTGTCTTATCATATACTAATTAATCTGCTGGGCATTTCTGAGGCTACAAATAGATAAAAGAATAGAGCATTGGTCTCTGTTTTCAAGGTCCTTAAAAGAAAGCCTCAAAAAAAGAGATTCGTTTGTGAGAAAAATGAGATAATCCAATGAGGTTAAAATGAAACTGTTAAAAAATTTATAAACTCTTGATCTCAGGGTAACAGTCAGCTAGCATCATCTTTTCTGGCATACACAATCTATTATAAAAGTATATGAATAGCACAGAATCATAAACCCTCTGTAGCTTTTGAAAATGACTTTCTCAAAAAAGAAATACTCTGCTTATATACATCTGTACTTCCTGTGCAAATGCTGTTTTTCCCTCAGTTACATAAAAATCTAGAAGTTATCTTTTTCACTTTGATACCTGGCTGTCAGTTTCTGGGACTCACTGTGCTGGAACAGTATCTCAGACTATCAACAAATGCTGCATTTCCAGATCTTTAGCATTTATTGTTCCTGACATCTCTTGGGGCCATTGCCTGTACTTGCTTTCAGCTGCTGTGAATTAAACTGCCCAAGCTTTCATTAGGAGCCAAAGCAGAGGTAGTGGCATTCTGTAGATATCATGAGGTCCCCATCTAGCTAAACATCTGTGCTGAATTTTTTTGCCACAGGGTCTTGCATTGATTATTAGCTGAGATAAATCCCCAAATACTGTGTTTTCTAATGAGAACCAGAACATGACTTTGAACCCGGCGTAGATGAGATAACAGAAATGTTGCATAATTATAATTCATCTGCAGAATAAATTCATCTACATTCATTTTGGGCAGAAAGACCATTCTGGTTTCTTTTATCATTTTCTTGTGCAGTGTGCAGCTTTATGAAGCATAAAGCCAAAGATCATTTGTTTCTGTAATATAAATAAATCGTCTGATTTTAACGAAGGTATCTTTTGGCTTATATATATATACCATTGAAATTATATCATAATATATACATATATTATGATTTGTTATAACATGCTTGCTTTAGGTTTCTTGGCAAATTTTCTTTATGATTTTTGTAATATATTTGTCTATTCAAATTACATGGTAGGATTCTTAAAATCAAAACATTTGAAAATCATTCCTTATTATTTTACAGAAGAAAGTGATCTACCCAAGATTACTCTTCTGGTTAGTAAAAATTTGTCTTCTCATGTTAACTCAATAGTTTTTACTGCAAAATGCTGCCTACCTTGAGGAAGGGAACAGTTTTTATTATTTCCTGAGGTTATTTTCTCTATTCCCTGTATTCTTCACCCTTTATCATGCCAATAAACAAAATATGCACGTTTTTGTGGTATATATTTAAGAGTGGTTAAAAATGGAAAGAAATTAAAAATGTGAGATTAATGGCAAAACTTCACATAGAATTTTAATAAAAATCTACTGCAGACAGACACAAGGACTACATTTTATATCAATGTTTATTCATGAATAGTAATCTATTTGAAATCTTCAATAACAATGTTTATTAACCAAGTACCCTTATAAATGCTTGATAATTTCATTTAGTATCAGGATAATTCTTTTGCTTGGGTTTTATTTTTATTATTTTAAAGTTTTATTTTTAACGATTGTGGGTATATAATAGTTGTATCTACTTATGGGGGTACATGTGATGTTTTGATACAGGGTTACAATGTTTAATGATCAAACCAGGGTAACTGGAGTATCTGTCACCTCAATCATTTATCATTTCTTTGTGTTAGGAACATTCCAATCTCACTCTTTTAGTTGCTTTAACATATACAAGAAGTTGTTGTTAACTATTGTCACCCTATTGGCTACTGAATACTGAATCTTAATCATTCTATCTAACTGTATGTTTGAGCCCATGAATCGTCCTTACTTTATCCTTCTCTTCCCACTACCCTTCCCAGCCTTTGGTAACCAGCATTCTGTATCTCTATGAGCTCAATTTATTTTGTTTTAGCTCTCACATATGAATAAGAACATGCAACATTTGTCATTCTGTGACTGGCTTATTGTACTTAACATAATGACTTCCCGTTCCATTCATTTTGTTGCAAATGACAAGATCTATTTAAAACCTTCAGTAACAATATTTATTAACCAAGTACCATTATGGCTGAATAATATCCCATTGTGCATATGTACCGTATTTTCTTTGTCCATTCATCTTTTGATGGACACCGGTTGGTTCCTTATATTGGCTTTACGAACAGTGCTGCAATAAATATGGGGGTTTAGATATCTCTTTACGTACTGTTTCCTTTCTTTTGAAAATGCACCTAGCACCAGGATTGCTGGATCATATAGCAGTTCTATATTTAGTTTTTGAGGAATCTTCTTACTGTTCTCCATACTGACTGTACTAGTTTACCTTCTCATCAATAGTGTATGAGGGTTCCCGTTTCTGCACATCCTCACCAGCATTTCTTATTGCCATGTTGTGGATAAAAACCTAGCAGGGGAAAGATGATATTTCATTGTAGGTTTGATTGAATTTATTTGATGATTAGTTATGTTGAACACTTTTTCATGTACCTTTTGGCCATTTGTATATCTTACTTTCAGAAATGTCTATTCAGATCATTAGCCCATTTTTAAATTTATTTTTTATTTTTAATTGTGTTTGCAAATTGCTGAAAAATGTGCTAATAATTGGCTTTTATAGGAGAAAAGAGAAAGGGTAAGACAGAATATAAGACAGAATACAATTAACTGGAAAGAAATACAAATCAAACACTCTGGGTAGAGGCCTATTTGTCAGGCTAATGAATGCCGATTGTTCTTGAAGGCAAAAGTAAGCTAATAGGGAGTGTCGATTACCTTTGTAAAAAGCAATACAGGAGAAGACTAATAAGGGGAGGTAAGTACAAACAGGAAGACTAGGTACACCAAAGGGCAAGCAGTTAGACAAGCTGTAGTGAGAGATTATGAGTTTCACTCTGGCAGTGGTACTGCATGTGGAGAGAAGCCAGGCCCAAAAGACTGTCTTGGGGTTACAGCTCATTCAAAAACAGGGTGAGCACATTGTTCGCTTTTGTGTATGTGTTCCTCTTACCAAAAATCTCTTAAGATTCACCTGGTATGCTCAACATGTTTATAAAGCAGTATTATTTAGACAATTTTAAATTTCCATTTGCTCTCCTACGAACATTTTTCTAACTTCTGCATTTTCTGCTGGTCATGCTACAGAACTAGCAGCTCTTATGGCTGACAACTTCAATCTCCCGTCTTTAGGAAAATCCCCAGTTAACCATGAGATTTTTTTTTATCTCAGCTATATTACCTTGGACATCTGTAGGCGATACTCTTCCTTCTTTCCGGTGAGTACTAGACTGGGTCCCTTTATCATATTGCTTTCCAGTATAAGTTTCAAAGAGGATGAAAATGTTAGGGTTCCTTAATTTAGTTCCTAACTTAAGTTAGGGTTCCTTAAGTTACTAGGAGTAGAAGGTAGCAGAAATCCAAATTTGCATGCAAATTTTCCCAAATAAAAATCTGAGTGCCAAATGGTTTATAGGCAACTAGTTTTCAGCAGTACCTAACTCACAACTGTTGGTAATGCTACATATTTAGTGAAGTAATTGACCTAGTACTTTTATTGAGGTTGTTTGAGGGTAATTGTCATTGCAAACACCCTGTGAAGTTGACGGCCAATGAGTTCATGACAAGTTTGGTATACAGACCAGACCAGACAGATGTTATCAGACTAGAAAAAAAATTATGTAATCACCTTCGTTTTTTGGGCAATATGCAAAAGAACCCATGCAGAAGCTAATTTATCCTATTAACACATTTTAGCCGAGTGCCTCATCTTTACATTCACTGAGCTAAAATTTTGAGCAAGATATCACTTGGATATTTCTTTACAATAGGGGTAGCAGAGACAAAATAAGCAAAACAATAAATAAAACCATTACAACTTGTAACAATGGCTGTAAAGTGAAAGAGAAAGATCAATTAGATCATACTCCAGCATAGAGAACAGTGGGTTGAAGGGAGGCAGACAGCAACGTCTCAGGTGAATCTACTCTCTGCCTGTCAGACACTTCATTTCCCACGATACTAAGCTCATTTAGAAGAAAGCTAATCTCATTCATTCATTCTAAAAATATGTATTGAATTCCTATTGATCATTAAATTCTGAAAATTGAAAAGCTGACTCAAATAGTATGTAGGTCCTCTAATATTTATGCTAATTTATCCTCTTTGATATAGTACATTCATGGCATTCATGGAAATGCAACAATTACACTTTTTTTTTTTTTTTTTTTTTTTGAGACGGACTTTCACTCTTGTTACCCAGGCTGGAGTGCAATGGCGCGATCTTGGCTCACTGCAATCTCCACCTCCTGGGTTCAAGCAATTCTCCTGCCTCACCCTCCCGAGTAGCTGGGACTACAGGCACGTGCCACCATGCCCAGCTAACGTTTTGTATTTTTAGTAGAGATGGGGGTTCACCATGTTGACCAGGATGGTCTCAATCTCAACAATTACACTTTTTTAACCCCCTTTTCATTTGTCCCAAGAATACTCACCAGTTGTGCTTCCAGCTGCACCATTTACCCCAAGAAAATTTGTCACAATATGTATCATTTCTATTTTTTTTGCATGGTTCTAGTACATAGGATTTGGAAACAAAAGACATCATTCTATTTATAGCATTCTGGTTTTAGTAGTGGGATTTATATTTACAAAATACAGTAATTCTCAATCATTGAAAATGTCATATCCTAGAAAACATAGCATTCCTGTGCATGATTTTAACATCATTTTGTAACAGTTTTTGGCTGAAGATTCACTTGATGAATCAGACTTTTTTCTGAAATAGACAATTGTGATGATTTAGATGACTCTGATGTTTAGAAGTAGCTCCAAGAAAAGTTTGCCTATTTTATTTTCAAAGAGCGTGTTTATGTAAAATTAAATGAGCACCGACAGTGAGCTGCACCTTTTGTTTCTTACTGAGAAAATGGTTAATGGTTTTTGTTTTTGTTTGTGTTTTTTTGCTGTTGTTGTGATAATTAAAAAAGGAAAAAAAAAGAAAAAACACACTGTGATGGTTCATTTTATGCATCAACTTGACTTGGCTATGAGAATGCCCAGATAGCTGGTAAAGCATTACTTCTGATTGTATCTGCGAGAGCGCTTCTGGGAAGAGATTAGCATTTGAATCAGTAGACAGAGAAAAGACTGCCTTCACCAACATGGGTGGACATCATCCAATCTGTTGAGGGACCAACCAGAACACAAAAGTAGAAGAAAGAAAAATTTGCTTTCTGTTTGCATTGAACTATCCATCTTTATCTACCCTTGAACATTATTGCTCCTGGTTTTTGGGTCTTTGGTTTCAGACAAGGACTTACACCATTATTCACCCACCTTTATGTTTTCATACTTTTGACTCTGATCAGAATTTACACCATCAGTTCTCCATTGGTTATCAGGATTTTAAACTTGCATTTGAGACTGACTGGCGCCCCCAACATTCCTGATTTTCCAGCTTGCAGACAGCATATCATAAGACTTCTCAATCTTCATAATCACATTGAGTCAATTCCCATAATTCATCTCTCTCTCTCTCTCTCTCTCTCTCTCTCTCTCCCCCCCCTTCCCTCTCTACTAATTCTAGAAAATATTGACAATAAATTGACTTAAGTAGAACATCACCAGTAAATATATAATTTGAGAGCAGATTGAACAAGAAAATATAGCATAAAACATTGCTTCCACCTTACTTAAAAAGAAGTAACAAATTCATTGTTGTAAGAGAGTACCTTAATGTATCCAGAATTAGTCTCTTTCTTATTTAATCATACTGCAGTTTTTGCAAAGTTAAAAATAAAATCAAATTTCAAAGTAAAACTAAGTTATATAAAAGTATTTTCAAAAGTACTGAGTTGATTTTAAGATGTGGCTATAAGAACAACTTTTTGTAGCATTATGCAAAGTAGATGCATGTGATTAATGTCAAGAATCAAAAAGGAAGAACAATCTACAAGAATAAAGAAAATACAGTATTACTTAGTCCATTCATTTGATAGCTTTTTTGTATACATAAATTTATTAATTCACTGAAACAACAGTCAACATCTTTTTGATATGTATTACTTGTTAAAAGTAATACTAGTGTTTATCCTCCTGTCCTTAAAAATACATGTTTTTCTGAAGTAAATCAATGTTTTATTTTCTTCTGCTAAGATATAGGACAATGGAGTATATAAATTATGGTTAAACACTTTTCCAGTTGACATAGTTTTGACCTACTCTGAAGTCCTTTAAAGTATCTAAGTGGATAACTGTACAAACAACTACTAGTCTAGTTATTCAAATATTTAGAAATAGATGAAACAAAAGGACCATGCAGGCCAGGAGAGGTGGCTCACACCTGTAATCCAAGCACTTTGGGAAGCTGAGACAGATGGATCATGAGGTCGGGAGATCGAGATCATCCTGGTCAATATGGTAAAACCCTATCTCTACTAAAACTACAAAAACTAGCTGAGCATGCTGGCATGTGCCTGTAGTTCCAGCTATTTGGGAGGCTGAGGAGGGAGAATGGCTTGAATCTGGAAGGCAGAGGTTGCAGTGAGCGGAGATTGCACCACTGCACTCCAGCCTGGAAGACAGAGAAAGACCCTGTATCCAAAAAAAAAAAAAAAAAAAAAAAAAAAAAAAAAAAAAAAAGGACCATGCAATAGCATTATTGTTAGGTAAATGGAGAAATTGGAAGAAAAAATTTAAGTAGCCTGACAATTGGCAATTTTCTACTCTTGTGAATGTACAACAGCTTGCATAAAATTTAGGTTTGGAACTTTAAGTTGAAAAATGATAGAAACTTACATATGTTCTTTAAAATGAAGAGAATCATTATTCTATATGAAGGAATGTAACTCTGAATAAAAGTCATTTGTATAATTACATTAAAATATTATTTGTTTTAATGAATGACAGAATTTGCCAGATTATAAGAAAATGGTGATTATAATTATGGTAATTTTAGAGGGTTCCCTATTGCAACAGTTAGAATTTGACTTTTTAATTATGCCATGGCAAACTGCCTTACTGAATAAATTCCCTGGAACTAATATTTGAAGGGATCATTAGTATACTTTGTTAATAATAATACCAGGGTACATTATGCTATATATTACATATTGGAATTATATTTTAAGATATTGAATAAATTCATTGTGTGCAAAGTAAAACTTTTTAAAACTTAAATTGCACAATATTTTTATTCAAATATGTTCTGCTAGGCACTTAGAAGTACAGGTCTCAGAAGAAACTTTTTATTTCATCCCAGTTCCTTTACACATATTCAGGACATTTACCAAATATCCCATGAATTGCCCCTAAATGTCCAGCATTTTTTCTCATTTACTTTCTCTGTTATTGCTAATTACTCAATACTATTGGTTCCATAGCTGATGTTTAGCACCATTCCTTGGCTCCCAAACTTCCTCTAGATACTATTTACAGCTGTCAGTACTTGATCTAAATTTTTACATCACTAAAAAAAAAGCTATCTGGATCTACCGATCAGCTTCACACAACTTCTTATAAAACTACCCCTGCCTCTTCTCAGCACCTTACCAACAGTTCTCCACATAAAAGGAAAAAATAATGAAACAGAATCCTTTACTTATTTAAATATTTAAATTTTTGTCTCATCTAGATTATATGCAAAAGTGTATAGTAATTTCAGCAAAGTATTTGTAATACATCTTTCGTAATTGTCTTATAGCTATCACTTTTAAATTACAAAACATACTGTAGCTATGATCCAACAAGGGGTTACAAATCGCAGGATTTTTTAAATGGTCTTTTAAATTACAAAACAACTACCATCCAAAGAGATATTCTTAGAATTTTAAAATCTTCTTTCTAACGACAGCAACAAGAACAAAACCCAAATAATTTTAAATATAAAAAAAAATTGTAAACCAACTTTAGATGACTATGAAAAAGAATAGATAATTCTGCCTCTGTATCGATGGGAATGTACTTCAAAAGCCCTATAATACCACATTGTTTACAATGTGTTACAATGAAATGAGCTTGTTCAAAAAAAGCATGTTTTTCAGACAATTCACAAATATTCACGTAAGAGCTAAAGGTAAAATTCTTTAATGATCTCTGAGAGAACATTTATACATGTTATAAACTTAGTGGTTTCTTAAATAATTAGCATCATTACTGTCCTCAACAATTATACAAGGTTTAATGCAACAATTCCTGATTTGGCATTAAGATTGGTATATAAGAATGATTTTCTTGTATATTTTAGTACCCTCAAGTCAATAAACTTTTTGCTCTTGTGTTTGTTTTTTTATACTCATCTCTCCCCTTTCTTATTATCAGCCTATCATCTCTTTACATGTTCCTATAAGATTTTTTTTTTTTGCTTATAAAATATCTTACCCAATAGACTTTTTTTTCCCCACATTTATCCTTTACTTTTAGGACTTACAACTTTGAGCAAATTATAAATTTTAGGTCATTTAATCCAAACAAATAAACATTAAGTTTTATACATGTAATCATAAATAAATGTTATATCTGATACTATATAACATATTAACATTTATAATACATAAATATATAGTCTATATAAGTTTTACTTATCTACACAATGTATATATGCATGTGTGTGTGTTCAACAAGGTTATTAAATTGTTTAGGGGCTATTTCCCACATATTTGGGGTTTATGGCTGGGTTTTGGACAGCTGAGTCAGCCAGAAAATGTGCTTCCTGACAAATAAAGTGTCATTGCCATTAACTAGAACTATCAAGCTCCACCTAGTTCACCCTAATTAATGCTATCAGATATGGAAAAGTAAAAAATACTCCTAGCATTCATTGTATTTAAAATGTAATTGTATAAATATAAGCAAATACATATTATCTAAATGTGCAATTTAATCTTAGGTTAAAGTTGAAATGCTGAAAGCTTTGGTTTCATATTGACAATATTATTTTAACATCATTATTTTAACTCAGATTCATTTCTACTTTATTTGTCGTTGTTATTACAAAAAAAAAAAGAAAAAAGAATAAGCCATAAGCCAATCATAGATTTCTTCACTCAGTTGATTAATAGGGGTTTCTCATATTTTTGTTTCAGTAAATCGCTTTGGCCTAATTCAATGCAGCATTATCCTTTATTAGGAAGTCAGGTTTTATGCTGTCAGGTGACATTTTAGGAAAGGACCTCAGAGATCATTCGTCCATTCCCTTTATTTTAGAGATTAAAAAAGGATTTTAGAAAGACGCTGCCTTTGAATAAAATCTCTTGTGTTCTGATTAAAGTTTATCCTTTTTTGGTTCACTGAAATAGGTTTCTTATGTCTTGTTCATATAAACAATCCCACTATTATATAAGATCAGCTAACTGCTACTATGCTTCAATCAGGCATTACCATGTTGGGAAGAGAAAAAAAAAATACCACACGTTTTAAAAAGGTCATACATAATAATGTTCTTAACTTATATCTGTAAGTGATAGTTTTGTGGTAAAAATGTTCGTCTCAATTGTTACCAAGTAATCTCCATAATACCTTATTTTTCCTTTGTTCCATTTTGTTTTTCCATTACTGGCATGGGGGGGATTCTGGAAAAAATTATCTTAGTGGTATTCCTGAAAAAAAAAAAAAAAAGAACAAGGGGATATTTTAAAGTCCTTTTTTTTTCTGACCACAAAATTAATGCAAAGTATGACAAATAAAAAAGAGGTGTGTGTGTGTGTGTCTAATGTGTAAATACATAATATATACATGTAATATATACTTACCATGATCTATTATCTCATATTCCAGGGGTTGAGTATGTTGAGATATTTCTGTCTTGTCTTTCCGTTATGCTGTTTGTTTTTGTTTTGTTTTGTTTTCAGATGGATGCAGACATGCATGTGGAAATTGCAAGCCTGGCTACTGTCTTGAGAAAATTAACCTGAATTTGTTTTTTAGTTCTGGTGTAACACACCAGGGACAGGCCTGCAGGGTCATTCTTAAAAAAAAATCTCTTTTTCTGTGTTCACCATTAAGACCCAGCTTGGCTCAGGATAAAAGAGACAATGATTTTGAAGTCAAAGAAAATTTTACTCATTTGAATCTTGGAAAATTGTAAAAAGAAGAAGAAATATTTTGTTGTAAAAGAGCATCAACAGCAAGGCTCTCCCACAACTATCTATTTCAACCACTGGCAGGAGGGAACTGTGTGGTGTATCTCATAAATAGTCAAAAGCAAAATGTGATCATGAAAAAAGTGGCTTTGAAATTTAGGTTTCCAGGATGATTTAATTTCAAAGATAGATTGAAAGTAAATTGAAAGCCAGAGGAACCACCATGATGTATATCGTGATGTGAGGGGGCTTCTTTCAGACCTCAGGATGGGTCGTTGTAGCTGATAGCCCAAGAAAGCTGAAGAGAAGTTGAGTCAGCACTGAACAGGCTGGAAGTCCCTGCATATGCATGCCAAAAAGAGACCATGTGAGTTTACCTGCAGGATGTGTTATAAACAGAAAAAAAAAAAAAAAAAAAAAAAAAAAAGCCCTAGAGAGCAGCACTTGTCTGTCTTTATCCACTGGAGGACTAGCAAGAAGTCCCTTTTTCCTCAAATGCAGAAAGACATAAAAACCTCAATCTTCTTTCTCACATAAGATGATGGTAGTTTAATGTAAGGAAATTTGAGAAACTATTGTTTTAGTCCAAAAATAAACAAATACTAAAGTAAGGTTTAAATATTTTAATTGTTTCCAATTGAATCATTAAAATAGTCACTCCCTACCCCTGCCCCTGCAAAGCATACTATTCAGAGAATGGGATTCAGGAAAAAAATTTACAAATAAGATATTGCAAAAATGAGGTAGTTACTTTTTATCCCTGTACATTCACATTATGGAATGATTTATTCACAGATTTGATTCACATGCATTTGTTTTACTGAACTTACTGTGAATAATGTATGCTTTAGGCTGCCATGTCTTCAATTTGTTAGGACATTAGTGAAAGGATCAGAAATTTAACTCTCTTGTCAATCAGTCTGCCATTTGTCTGTCTTGATTTGAGCTGTTCTTAAGTGTCCTCAAGCACAAACAATCACTGTCCCAAATGATATAGAGACAGTATGAGGACAGATTACCTCTACCTATCTTTCTACTATCATAAAGAATATGACACAATCTTATTTGATAAGAGGTCTAGAGCAATTGATGGTTTTATACAAACTTTGCATATAAAAGTTAGTGAAGCCATAAAGTTGTTATTGCCATTGCTTAAAATGTATTTATTTTATTTTATTTTATTTTTTATTTATTTATTTATTTTTCTGAGACAGAGTTTTGCTCTTGTTACCCAGGCTGGAGTGCAATGGCGCGATCTCGGCTCACCACAACCTCCGCCTCCTAGGTTCAGGCAATTCTCTTGCCTCAGCCTCCTGAGTAGCTGGGATTACAGGCATGAGCCACCATGCCCAGCTAATTTTTTGTATTTTTAGCAGAGACGGGGCTGCACCATGTTGACCAGGATGGTCTCGATCTCGTGACCCCGTGATCCACCCGCCTCGGCCTCCCAAAGTGCTGATTACAGGCATGAGCCACCGCGCCAGGCATATTTATTTATTTTTAGCTAAAACCTGAATCTTTTATCATGTGTAGAGAATACTTATATTATGAACATGAACCCAAGGCAAAGAATCTTCATCACAACTGAAAGTATGGTGTATTTTTATATGTTCCATCTTATCTTTATTAATATAAATTTTTCCTAATTATATATTCAGGATTTCTGATTTGTTATAGAGTCCATCTTCTAATTGCATTGTAAACTGAAGCTAGTTGCTGTAGGTTGGTACCACAGCATACACCCATCTGTTTAAGAAGAGATTCAGGGCCAGGCACGGTGGCTCATGCCTGTAATCTCAGTACTTTGGCAGGCCAAGACAGGAAGATGACGAGGTTAGGAATTCGAGACCAGCCTGGCCAACATGATGAAACCCTGTCACTACTAAAGATACAAAAAATTAGCCGGGCGTAGTGGCGGGTGCCTGCAATCCCAGCTACTGGGGAGCCTGAGGCAGGAGAATCGCTTGAACCCAGAAGGTGGAGCTTGCAGTGAGCTGAGATCACACCATTGCATTCCAGCCTTGGCGACAGGGCTAGACTCCACCTCAGAAACCAAGAAGAGATTCAGATATAATTTTCAAGGTAATTCACAACACATGAGACTTTACAATATAAAATCTTGAAAGAACGTGAAAAAGGGAAATCTTTAAAGAAAATATGGAGAATTTTCTTAAATATTTTATTCAATGAATCAATATTTCATTACTTTGCTCATCTATGAGTTGTTCTGTAACTGAACAGATCCTGTGTATTACAAATATTATTTTCTTTAGTGTAAGTGTAATAATGAACAAAGAGTTTTTTGTAACTTTGCATACAAACCTGAAAAATAGAGTCATGTAATAAAGATATTATAAAATATCTGATTAATGTTAAAAAAGAAAATATAAAAAATATATTTGATCCCCTCATTTTTAGAAAAGTTCCTGATTATTTTATTACTTTAGGCATAGCTTTAAAATCTTTTCAAAATATTGATAAATGTTTAAACTACTGTAATTGCTTGGTTTTCCTACCAAAGAAAAAAAAGTTATGAAATAAATCAGTGCCATCCCTAGGCACAGAAAAAGTAAAAAGTACAACATGATATCTGAAATATTGATTCTGGAAATTATGTCTTTTTTATTTAATTTGAGGAATGTACAGATTATTGAATACTAATGAAAATTAGCTAAAATCTTATAAAAGTTTGTTGTTTATGAAACACTTTCAAATTTTCTAAAAGAAAACACAACTTAAATATTCTGAATCTTAATAATAATAAATAACATGAATTTCATGTTTAGTTAGTACTATTTTGATGCCCGTTTTAGAAATAGAAGGTTTGGCATGGTGAGTTAACTTGTCATAGGTTGTTAAGTTTAAGCCAATAAAAAATTTGCAAAAATGCAAAATAATGTCACGATTCTCAATAATAATTTTTTATTACAGAAAATAATAATTTTGTTAGGTTTTTATAAATAATTTTTATGTTAACATGAAATGGGTTTATTTTTGTTATTTTGAGATGAATACATAAAGACGTTTTTACAAACTTCTTTATTGCCTTAATATAAAGAGTTTTCATGTAACCTCTGGAAAATTTAACCTAGGAGTATACTCTATGAGAATGAAAGTGTATAAGGAAATTACATGATCTTAATATCATTAAGAAAACAGTTTTGATCCTTAAATTGTTATCCCCCTGCGTTAGAAGATATCTACAGTTTTTATCAATCCTGTAAACTTAAATATTAATTGGTGATTTACATCTCTGCAACTAGGTTTTTCTTTGTAGGTATAATCAGAATGTTTTTAGGCATCTTGAATCAGCATTATAGTAGGGAGCCTGAAAGGAAGAAAAAGAGAATTCAAAAAACTAGAGTAATAAGAAATATGTAATAGTAATAACAGGACTGCAGAGTAGAATACATTCAAAGCCAGTCTAAATAGAATCAGGCCCATACTAGAAGATGAACTGAATACAGGGGGCATAAATGCATGATTGGATATTGATTAGCCCAAAGTCACCAACAGGAGGCTGCAGATGATTAAATGATTGTCATGTAAGTCCAGTCCTATGACATTTAGCCAAATGAGGACCATAGATATTTGCCACAGCATTGTTGTTAGAAAACTGTTCTTAGTTTGCATAGAAGATATGATAAAGTAATTGAAAATCAAGGTAAACCAACCACTCTAAAAATGATACACCTGCCAAACATCTTATACCTTGGAAGAGATAACATGATAAGGAATAAAAAGTCCTCGATAGGAGACATCTTCTACTAACTGCTTAGAAAAGAGTGGTAAAAAGTGTATCTCTCTAGACCTTAGTAACTCTAAGTAAAAGAGATGAACAGGATGATAGATAACATTTTTAAAAGTCCAATATATGATGTAACAAACAGTGGCAAGTCCAATAGATATTACAAAACATCACATTAATGTTAGTAAAAGAAAGTAACAACACGTATTTGATGCCCTTTCTGTTGAACGAGGTTCTGACTATTTAATAATTTTAGGCATAGCTTTAAAATATTTTCAAATTATATACTGAGAAATGGTTAAAATGTTATACAAATTGTTTGATTATCCTTTTTGGAAATGACAAGAAAGTAATCAGTTTAGAAATCTAATACTAGAAATTGGTGGTGGGGGAATATTAAGTAGAACATACATTTTGGGTGAAAAAAGGAAGAAGAAAAGGAGGAAGAAGAAGAGGAAGAGGAAGAATAAGAAAAGAAGGACAAAGAGGGGAGAGAAAGGAGGAGGAGGAGAAAACATCTTAAGGAGTAAAAATCAATCCTTTTAGAGAGACAGCAGGCACAAATAATCAAAGAAAGAGAAACTGGATTCAGTGACTAATTGGGAAACTAAGCAGAGAATCGATCACATGAGAACTTGCATTTCCTGTGGCCAGGCAACAGTGCCTCATCTCTTTAAGTCCATCTTTTGCATGTAATCAATGAGAGCGCTTTATTTTAAACAGATTTATGGGTCTCAGTTCTCATTAAAAAAAATTCTTACCATGGGTA